CCGTTGGTACTTCTCTTGCCATAGCAGTACTTCCCTAGTACGAATTCCTCTCCTGCTTCTCTGTAGCCAACTTGGGCGTTGAAATCCCCCATGATTACGAGGTTGTTGTTGTAATATTTCTTTGTAATGTCAGATAGGTTGTTATAGAAGTCTTCAATGTTCTCCCTGGCGGCTTGTTCGGTAGGCGCGTATACCTGGATGATTGTCCATACTTTCTTGTAGCCCGGTAGTTTCATGTTTAGTATTGCTATTCTGTCTGAAATTCCTATTAGCTCCAGTATGTTTTGTTTTAGGGATAGTTTTATGAGAAATCCTACACCTCTGTGTCCTGCTGTTTCTCCTTTGTGGTATAGGATATAGTTTTCATACTCTTCTATTTTCTCTTCCAGTCTTCTCATCTCACTTATTCCTAAGATATCGTAGTTTATTTTCTCTAGTGACTTTTCTAGTTCCAGCAGACTTTCCTGTGTTCTTAGTGTTCTTGTATTTAGTGTTGCGATGTTGATTGTTACGCGTGATTTTGTTGGAGGGTTTTGGTCTAGATCTTCCACGGGGACCAGCCGTGTTGGGAGACATTTTGTTTGTTGTGGTTCAAAATCTTCTGTTCTAATTTTAATTTTTCCGGTTCTCGGCAGTGTTCTTCTGTGTATGTTTGGTTTTTATAAATTCATGGTATTTGTTTTCCTTTGGTTTGGTGTAATGATGTCAGTTACAAGTTTTTTGGATCTTCGGCTGATGAAACTGTTGGAGCTGGTCTTTTTCGTTCAACATATTTGACTGTGCTGGGTTAAAAAATTTTTTTTTTTTTTTTTTTTTTTTTTTTTTTTTTTTTTTTTTTTTTTTTTTTTTTTTTTTTTTTTTTTTTTTTTTTTTTTTTTTTTTTTTTTTTTTTTTTTTTTCCCTTTTTTTTTTTTTTTATTGGCTTCTTATTTTTTGATGCGTTCACTGGTAACACTAAATCTTCACTGTCAACGACAGTTGGTGATTCGTTATGTTGGCAATAGTGATAACACTCTAATAAGTCTATGATTATAACTGCTATTCACAATTTTAGGTTATGTTGTTTCGTGATAATTGAAGATTTTTCGCAAGATGAACAATATTCGCACTGTGATCACTTCACTAAGTTCAGTGTCAATACTTTATTTTGAAGGGGTTGCGTCAAGATTACTTGATTATCCACTTTTTGCACTACTTTTACGAAAATATTCGCGGAGGAGTTTGACGTACGTGTTTACGATACAATAGCCGGAACCGGAATCTTTTAATATCTTCCTACATATACTTTTCTAAGCTAAAAAAAATAAAGTACTAATACTAAGAAAAAAAAGTATTATTAATTTGACATGCTATTTCATCCACACAATATCTTTACATTCTACATAATATGTCTAAGTTAAGATTCTGTTGCCTGTTCCTTTCATCCACAGATTACCCCCTAAGAGATTCCGCATACAGAGGCACAAACGCGCGCACCACATGTTTGCTGTAGATAGCATACGAAGTAACGCTAAGAATCATATTAGTGTGACCAAGTTTGTGACCTGTAGTAACGTCCGAGTACTTGACAATTTAAAAATAATCTCTTATTCAAAATACATTACAAATGGCTTCCTGTGCAGTGAAATGGAGTGGCAAGTTTGCTAAGACATCCAGTTATCAAAAAGATGGCACAACATTTCATCAGTAAGTAAATTCTTTTCTTATCATATTAACCTATTTCAAACCGATGGATGGGATTCACCGGAGTTCAACTTATATTGGTAATATATGGTGCAAAGCGATAACAATTAAGCACCCGTTGATGTCTTTTTGAAATGTCTCTTTTACTCATTATGTAAATTAAAGTAGTTGTCTTTGTCTAACCACAGAATGTGTATCGATAGTATTGTGATTTATAAGTAGATATTTGTTTGGTCATCATTTACATTTTTAAGGCATTATTTTATAAAAAATAGTGGTGTATCATTGTGGTACCTATATGTTATAGGTTTCCTAAATGCCCCGAAAAGAAAAAGATGTGGATCGATGCAACTTGACAAGGGGACGAATGGTTTCCCACCAAAAGGAGTGTGCTATGCTCAAGACACTTCACAGAACATAATCGTCATATTATAAAAAACCATAGACGACTGTTGGATTCCGCTATATCATCTCTATACTTGCTAGTTTTAGTATGGACTTTTACATTATTTTTAAAGTATAGTACCAATGTAGATTACATAAGTAATAACAATAAGTAGTCGATTGAAATGTGATATTCTAATATTTAGGCGAATGTTACACGTCGAAATTAAACTATTTTTAACGAATTTACAAATCATAACTAAGCTTTCCTAGATATTTTAGTCATCCGAAATCCTGATAACACTGTTAGTCACACTGTGTATAGCAAAAAGACCCATACCAACCAATATTTAAATGGTGAATCTCCGTGGGTAAATCTATGTTTCAGAGAGCACAAGGGATCTGGGACAGAAGATATCTGGCCTCCGAGCAGCATGTCAAGCAAGTATTATAAGACAACAAGCTTCGGGTCCCGCACCAAGGTCACAGTGACCGAGTGAAGCTGGCCACATTCGAGCGTGTGCTCACTGTACTACCGTATGTCACAGGAGTCACAAAAAAGTTTGGCTACATCTTGAAGCAATCTTCCATTAAAACATACTACAAACCGCCGAAGAAAAGTCAATTTTTACCACCCGTCAAGTGTAATATTCCTCTACAAAATGCATGAGTGTACAAGCTAGATTGTGAATGTGGTCTCTATTACATACGTCAAACAAAAAGCTCTATTAAAACCCGCGTGAAGGAGCATATAGCTGATGTGAAGCACCGACGCTCTGGGAAGTCTGCAGTCTGTGAACATGTTCAAGATCGACCCCACCATTACATCAGATTTGATAAACCACAAGTCCTCACAAAAGAACACCGATTCCTACAAAGGATGATACGCGAGGATGATGAAATTAAAAAACATCGTAATTTAAATAGAGAAGATGGATGGGTCACAAAATCAAACCGAAACCCAAGCATACCACTGCAAGACTTCAAGATACTGTAAGCTTGTTATGAATAGATCAGACCAAAAATTAATATTGAAAACTGAAGTTAGTTGAGCTACGACATTGGGACGTCAAACATCTCAGTCCCCCCCGTGACCATAGGTGCTGTTAAGCACCCAAAGCGTTGGGTATAAAAAATAAGGTAATTAAACACAATAAAATGTGTATATATAAGAAATTATTAAATTATTGAACAAATATATATACATTGTTGTATTGTTTAATAAATTTAAAATACAAATTGATCAATTTATTTATTTATCAATAATAACAAACATCCCAACCCTGTCCCACCACTATGGTTCGGTGCATTCTAAGTAAAATTTTGAAATATCCAATCACAGCGCACTTGCACACTCCCTGCAACTCTTGCATGCCGCTAAATTTGGTGAAATCGAAACGGAACAAATATTCAATGACGCGGTATCTATTAGGGGGTAATCTCTGCTTTCATCCTATCGCCTAGAATTCATCAAAAAATAAACTCTGTTAATAACACTGAAGTGACGGGAATAAATAGCAGACATGACACACAATTTTAAAAATAATTTGCCTCTAGTCCATACAATACATTCTTTTAATAATAATGAAACCTTTATTTTCTGAAACAATTTATGTATTACATGTTGTAGCTGCAAATTTAGCCAAACTAAAAAAAATTATTAATAAGATAGTACAACATTATACAAACTAAACTATTCGATTCTTTTATAGATATTTCCAGAACATCTCTGGAAGCTAATCAACAGTGCAACATGGTGAACTTTTGCTATAAAATTTGGCCTGTGCTTAGCAGTGTAGCATATGCAGTCTGTACCATTACTTTATCACATGTAATACCTTACCGAAACAACTTAGGGACCTCCAAGAGAGAGTCTACTCCTTTTAAAAAGGCCTGCAACGCATCTGTAAGTCCTCTGGTGTTGCAGTTGTTCATAGGCATTGGAAATCACTAACCATCATGTGAGCTTGAAATGGAATGTACAAGATATTGATGAATTAGGGTCTGCGAGTTGTTGTGATGGTGGAAGCAATTTGTGAAAACTGTTAATTTTATGCAAATAAATACTCAGTTTCCTGCTGCATCAAAGAGTGAGTTAAGAATAGGGTTTTAGTGGGGTAGAATTGCTTTTATATTTTTGTCAAAGTTTACAGAAATCATGATTATTTTTATTTTTGGCCAAACTTTATATATGTATGTAGTATTAGCAGAAAAGAAACAAATTTACCTACATTTAACTATAAAAAAATTAATAAACTCTAATTTAACCAACCACAATTGGCTACACCTACTTATAGCCTGCTAAATTGGATAAATAAAAAAATAGCATAGCCCAATAAATTAAATACAATTATTCATCCTATTACCGATAAACTCTAAAAACTATGTATAACATATTCGACACAAAAATAGGTGTATTTCAAGCTGCAATCAATGATAAAGTGTGGAAATGGTGACAGTGACTTTAAAAAAGAAATTTTAGCTTCAATTAGAGCTAGTCTTCTCTCGAAATCATCATTATTTTCACAACCTGAGATGGGATTCCTATTTTAAGATTTAGTGACTTGACTGTGACTTTACTTGGTGACTTTCAAATACTGAAATTGAAACACATTGCTCCAACAGAACCTGATATATTCATGTCTTAGAGGATTCTGACTTGAAGATTTTATATCTATAGACTGCTTTGTGGTGTAGTGGCTTAGCTATGAGTAACAGTGCTAAGGGTCTATGGTTCGAATGCAGCATGGAACAAGAATTTATATGGCCTATAAATAGTTGTTCTCAGTCTGGATATTTTTCCTTAATGAATTTTATGTATGTAAACTGACTCCACAATACAGGAGAAATTTCTAGCGTATGATCTTTTAAAAATAAACATTTTGCACAGTTGCCTTCGCAAAGCATACTCATTTTAAAATTGTATTACTTACATTGTCTTAATCTATTACTAGGTAGATAAGTTTGTGACTTCTTTTCATCACTGTCCATGTTTTCGGAATTTAGGTGGATATCTGCTGTCACCACTTCCTCCTCTTCTTGATTGTCACTTACTTGTTCAGTTTCCTGAGCGTGGTTTTCGATTGACTTCATAGGAATTAGGATTTTTGAGTATTGGGTTACAAATAGCAATAAGTAACTTTAATTTTTCAAACAACTATTTACAACAAACTGAAGAAATTAAAACGACTACCAGTACCAGATAATTATATGTGAATCCTGTTTTTCATTATGCAACTACAAAATATAGTACTTTCTTAGTTCTTAGAACGTAAAAATTGGTAATAAAAAAAAATAAAAATATTTAAAAGTTGTCATTGACAACTTGTCGACGTTGTCATTAATTTTTCATTAAAATTTTTGGCATACCTAGATGCGCCTAGATGCTTTTCTTTTAAGCATCAACGTTGTCGTTTTCTTTTTTGAGATTTTTGGCTTGGATGCTTGTTTTTTAAGCCTTATGCCAAGTTTTTGGGAGATTTTGATGACAGCTCAATACAGCGGACACCGGACAATCAATGATTACAGTTACCCAAGTTCATAAGGTGCCTAAGCGATCAAAATAACTGTAGGTTTATATCAAGATTTAAGCAAATGTTTCGTTGTTTTATCTAATAGTTCACATGCCCAGACATTCAATACACAAAATCGCATCACGTTTACGTATCAAAATCCACATCAATCTATTATTTGAACGATAAAACAAGAGCAAAAATCCGTCGATGGCCACGTTCCTACCAAAACACCCCAGACTATAATTTGTTTCTTCCACTCCCATTTTGAAGTTCAATTTGCCTTAAAAGACAAGCATCCAAGTCAAAAATGTTAATTTTGAAGTTTGGAGAAATATAGCTATTTTGGATTTTGTTTGAAATGAAAAGGTTAGGAGTGCATTATTGATGATAATTTAGCATTAGTAAAAATTGTGACTAAGTTAATAAATTTGATTGAATCGTATTTAAAACATGTATAATATGAATCACATTTTAAAAGTTATACCTGAAATTGGTTTAAAGACCAATCAAATCCTTGGTCTTCATACAAATGCTACATTATCAGCATGGGTTAAAGCAAAAACTCCAAAAAAGTTTTTAGAGTATAATAAGAAGATGTTTCCCCCTCAAGCAATCGGAGATGAAACTAGACCTGCTGTAAGTCCTTATAAATTTAATTTGTTTTCCTGTTTATTACCGTGGCATTTTTATCATGGCCTATATTTATTAAGAATTAAAGTAATTCTTTTTCCTAATACCTTTTTCCTTACAGCTTATAATTATGTTGTATGTATAGTTGAGATTTAATTCAATTACTTTAGAAATCAATTGGTTAATATAATCAATTATAGTAATTCAACTTTCTAATTAAAGAAAAGGTGTCTATACTGCAAAAAGGAACTTATTCACTTCAGTTTCTTATAGGCAAAAATTATTTAAATAGATCAAAATCTTTTATTAGTTGCAGATTAAGATTTCTTTGAAATCTCAACTTTGGGTGTTGTGTTTTATTGAGTCCGAAGTAACCACTAGAAAGCTGTGTTGGTTGCAAATATGTGACTATAATTAGAGTAGATTCTAACATTAAACAGGTTGTCTGGTATATAATGGATAACCTTGAAATGGGTTGTGGTAGAACTTATAGCCCTTCAAAAACAGCAAGGTGTCTGGGTAGCTGCATCAAAAATATGCACATTATAAGTGGTAGAGCCATGCTACAGCTATATTAGTAGTATATAAGGGGAAGGACCATGCTCTCATAGGATACCAGCGTTAAATAGTAGCTTAATGCTGCTGTGTTTCGTATGGTGGGTGTAGAGAACTGGAGACCCTTTTTACTGGAAACGAGGCATTCTATCTTAGTCCTCACTGGTGCATCTGCATTTTGATTTGTAATTGAGGATAGATGTAGATGTCTATGGGCCGCAGCAACTACTTACCATCAGGTGGACTGTGTGCTCGGGGAAGGACACAGTCTCACAGAATTCTAGCGTAAAATAGCAGCTTAATACTGCTGTGTTTCATATGATGAGTGTAGGAATCTGGAGACCCTAGTTTGCTGCAAATGAGGCATTCTATCACAGTCCTTAGGTGTTACAACACATCTGCATTTTGGTTCTTAATAGAGGATAAATGTAGATGACTATGGGTAACAGCATCCACTTACCATCAGGTGGACTGTGTGCTCGTTTGTCACCCTTATTCTATAAAAAATACACTTAGAAGAGCATTTATTTGTAAGTGTGGAAGGAATATTCGACATTAATAATACTTGTTTTGACAAAATGTTTGATATAGACCCTACATCAAACATTTTGGTACTGTAATTTTTGTGAAAACAAGTATTATTAATGTCGAACATTGTGTTTTATTAAACCCTAATGGTCAGAAACATTTAATGTAAAAATTGGTCCAAAAATTTTGTGTAATCAAAATTTACTTAAATTAGACATTAATTACATTAATTTACGGTTTACATTAGTATATTTACAATAAACACTTTATTTCAATACAATTCAATAATGAACATATTTAAATACATTTTTTATTTTCCATAAATTTCTTCAAAATGAATATCTGGCATGTTTTTACCTAAATAATTGAAGGTTTAGAAACATGTGTAAGAACTGTCATTGTATGTGATTTGTGTTGAACTATTTTATAGGATATCAATTATTTTGCAGTTTGTTTGTCATCAAAAAGCTAACATTAAGTATAGCCCAGAAAAGCTTTGGTATGTGGCCTGTTTAGTCCGTGGTATGACAGTTGATGAAGCTGTTAAACAATTAAGTTTTGTTAACAAGAAAGGTGCTGTTTTTGTTAAGGAGGCTATACTTGAAGCGCAGGAACTTGCAGTATCGCAACATAATGTGGAATACCGAAGCAACTTATGGGTGGGTGCGTATCAACCAATTCTGGTGTTTTGTCAGTGGTAGAGCCATGTGGCAGCTTTACTGTTGCAAGGATGGGCCGGCTCAAACCAGTGTGGTACCACAACCTCAAAGAAGACCAGCGTAAAGTAGAAGTTCTTCTTAGAAACAACTTGTGTTTTTCTTCCTCTGTTTATATTAATTTAAAATACTGGGAAATAGTGTTCAATTAAAATGCTATTTGTGTTGTGTTTGGAGATTGATTTACATACTACATTGTAAATTGATAAATATGGTAAAATGGTGACTTTGAATTGCTTAGTCTTGTGTTTAAATAGTGTTTTACATTTTCTTTTACTACGGTCTTCTTCTTTTTCTTTTAAATTATGGCTTCTCTTGATAGAATTCTGCCAGTGTCAAGTCAGTCATGGAAGTGTCAAGTTAATAATAGTGTAAAAATAAGAGTTCACAATTTAATGAGTGGGTTCACAATCTACAACAAAAGACATCACATATTTAAAATACCATCACCAAAATTGTTAAGTAATTTTACAGTTTAATATTATTAGTACAAATAAAAGCACATAAAATATTTACAAAGGGAGTACACACTAGGGTCAACAAAAATTGGAAATTTACTGCATGAGAGATGTAATTGGGCAGGATATCGTAGAGAGAGAAAGAAAGTTGAGGACACTCAAAGAACAGATGATTGACAGATCCTTCGTCTAGGCCACATTCACAGATTGAGCTATCCCTAATCCTGAGTTTGGCCAAGTGTACAGGAGTACAAGCATGACCAAAGTGTAGGCTGCAAACAGTAGAGTTACTAAAGTGGCGATATTGAAAAAACCAGGGTTTTGATGGGATATTCATTTGGACTTTGGAATAGTGATTACATTTTAAAAATTTAGACTGATGCCAATTACATTGCCAAGAAGACAGAAGGCCGGAGTTTGCCTTTGGCAGGAGGTCATGTAGATAGAGGCATTGTCTAGGGATAGAGCCAGATTTTGTGGCATCTTTAGCTAAATTATCAGCAATTTCTTTGCCCTGAATTCCGCAGTGGCTAGGGATCCAGGCCAGTACAATGTCCAGCCCTTTTTTATAACAATAGTAGAGAGACTTTCTAATATTTAAAATTAAGGGGTATCTAATCTTAGAGTGAAAAGGACTGGAAACAATACTTTGAAGGCAACTAAGGGAGTCCGAGAAAATGATAGTCCTTTTCAGACCATGTGATGCACTGCACACTGTATAGGCCATGAAACTGCCTCTAAAATAGCCGAAGCCTCACCTGTGAATACAGACGAGTCAGGGGGAGAGTTAAAATTTAAAATAATCCTGTATTTAGGGATCCACACTGCAGACCCTACTAATCCATTGTCACTTAACTTTGAAGCATCAGTTTACATTGTTAACCAATTATGCCAATTTTGGAGGAGGAGCATATTTAATTTGTTATTTGCTTCAATAGTATTTTTATCTATTCCAATATCTAGAATAATGTCTGGATTGAAAATTAGAGCCTCGTATGGGATATTGTAAAGTGGGGTACTAAGGGATTGATAAATTGTGGAGGGAATGTTGAGCAATTTCATATAGCTTTTTATAATGCATGGCAAATCCTTGTGGGACCAATATGGGAAGTTTCTGACCAACCGATACAAGGAATGAAGTTTGGAAAGGAGAGGATGGAGTGAATAACATGCTACTTTAAACAAGAACCTATCTGAGAGATATTGCCTGCGTAGAGATGGGGGGGGGGCGCTCAACACATTCAACTTGAAGAGTGAAAATGGGAGTGGACTTCATGCTACCAGTTATTATACGTAGACATTTTGACTGGATTTTGTCCAAGGTATTAAGAGCCATTTTGCTACATGGCTCTAGTAAAAAGCACCCATAATCAAAGTGACTTCTAATTAGAGCATTGTATAAAAGCTTTTGTGAGTAGGGGTGAGAACCCCACCAAGCACCTGATAGAGATCGAATTACATTGAGATTTTTTTCACATTTGGAGGCAATGTATAATAAGTGAGGAATTCCTGTCATTTTGTTATCCAGGATAACTCCTAAAAATTTCACTTGATTTTCAGTGGGGATTAGAGTATTATCAATGTAGACGGACACTTCTGGTATACCATATTTTTTTTATGTTGTATATACGTATGCTGATATACCTTCGCCTAGAGAAGACCACAGTACTGCATTTTAAAGGAAACATTGATAAACCATGCTCCATTAGCCAATTATTAAGAAAGTTGACAGCTTGGGATAAACAAGAGGTAGCCTCAACAATAGAGACATCAGTTATGTATAAGGCTAGATCATCTCCATATGGCAGAATATTACCTAGATAATTTACAGATCTGTCTAGATCATGGGTGTAGAGGCTGTACAACAAGGGGCTCAAGACTGAACCTTGTGGTAGTCCCTTCCAGGTAAATCTAGCTGGTAGAAATCTTCCTTCAGAGCGAACTAATATGCGTCTATGTGAAAGTAGGTTTGCTATGAAATTTGTTATTCTCTCGAGAATGTTCAGCTGATGCATTTTTTGCCTGAGCAGAGGGAGAACAACATTATATGCTGCACAGACGTCAATGAAAATGCCTACGAGAAAGTTGTTATTGGAGAATGCTAGTCTTATATCAGATATTAAAATGCTAAGGCTATCCATTGTGCTAAAACCTTTTCTAAAACCAAATTGGATCTTTGATATAATGCCTCTATTTTCGAGAATCCACTCAAGGCAATTTTTTACAAGATGTTCCATGATTTTAGACAGGGTTGATGAAAGAGCAATAGGGCGATAGCTTAATGCTGAAGAAGGGTCTTTACCAGGTATTAGAATAGGAATATTAATATGTGTTTTCCAGTCATCTAGAATAGAACCGGTTGTAAACGCCATGTTAATTATGCTTAAAAAGAACTGCTTACTCATAGTACCCATATTTACAAGGAATGAGTAGGTGATACCATCAATGCCAGGGGAGGAATCCTTAAGGTGCCTAAGAACCAACTGCAATTCAGCTAGTGAAAATGGTTCATTAAGATTATTAAAAGAGTTAAATGAGTGAAGGGGGAATGGTTTTGAGGAAGGAGTTATCTCTTCCTCCAATGGAACCTAAGGGGGAGCCAGACGGTTACTGAAATCCTCTACCCAATGGGAGGGGTCTGTACAAGGGGGATTGCTATCATCTAAAGCGCCAAGTAAGTGCCTAATACGTTTCCAAACCAGAGAAGAAGGAAATCGAGGAGCTAAGCTCTCACAAAACGAAAGCCATCCTTTTTTTTCTTTTCAGAAAGAAGTTTTTTGGACTGAGCAGTTATTTTCTTATAATTAAGAAAATTTTCCATTGACATGTTAGAGGAATATAGCTGTTCTGCTGCCTTTCGTTTTTTAATAATTGAGGAGCAGTCTGCGTCCCTCCCACCATGGAGGTGAAGAAATTTTACTAGTGGAGGAATTCTTCAAAGGGAAAATTTTGTATGCTATATTATTCATAAGGGTTATAAATCGGGAATAGGCACTATGGAGGTTATCCAGAGATACTGGGGGAAGATTATTGATATTAATTTCTGTTTCTGAGCAGAATACATCCCAATCGGCTTCAGACAGATTGAATTTAAGAAGGGGTGATAAATTTCGAGTAGGAACGCATCTATACTTAGGTTTAAAAGGATGGGATAGTGATCACTTCCAAAAGGAGAAGGGAGAGTTTTCCATGATATGCTAGCAGCCAGGATTGGAGAGTACAATGACAGATCTACTGCAGATCTAGAATTCTGCGAAGGGTAGGCCATTCTGGTGGGAGAACCATCATTTAGGAGACAAAGATTAAATTCAAACATCAAGTAGCAGATAAGAAAAAGAGTCAGATTTGTGGGAACCCCACATAACATGATGACTATTGAAGTCTCCGAGAACAATGTAAGGTGAAGAGATGCTTGATAGAATTAAATTGAGTTCTGATATACAAGATGATGTGGGACCCGGAATGTAAATGGATAGAATTGTGATGTTCATAGCCTTAACAGCTACTGCATTTATATTGTCTTGTACAGGAGGAAGAGGAATGGGTGTTTAGTAAAATCAAAGCACCACCATAGCCGTCGCTCCTATCACTACGATAACAGGAGAAGCCTGGGATTCTAAATGTGGACCCTGGCTTAAGCCATGTTTCCGATATTGCAAGTATTGAAGGGTTATGAGTATTAATTAAGTGGATTAGGTATATCAGGTTTCTTATTCCTGATGCTCCGACAATTCCACTGGAGGAGAGTTAGAGATTCGATCTTTATATATTCTGGTGAAGAGGTAATCTAGTTTGCTTTTCACGTTGAACGGTAAATGGGAATCATCGAATTTGTTAACAATATCTGTAAGAGAGCCACAAGATTTTCTAGAAGATTATCATTAGGAGATATAATATTGCTTTGTAAAGCATGTCTATTGGGAAGAGAGGACGAAGGAGTACTAGTAATGTTATAGTGTGAAACTTTATCATATCCTAGTTGCGTTTGCAACATTGCACTGGCATAGATTTGGCTTTATATATAGTTTTCCTATAGGACTGCGAAGGACACAGAGTAGGAGGGTTTATAGATGCCTGAGGAGACGGAAGATGGCTTACTGGAATTTGTGAAGATGCAACATCAGAATAAGGTCTTCTGACAGCCGGGAAACGGGCGGAAGCCTCAAGGTATGATATATTCTCTTGTGACATTACTATCTTGATAGCTTTTTGCCTTGAGTGCTCTGGGAAACTATTTTCAACCGCTGAATGATTTGCAGAGCAGAAAAGACAGGTTGGGGAATCTGTAGGACAATTATCTCCGGTGTGCTCTTTGCTGCATTTAAAGCATCGTGGTTTCGATCGACATTGAGCTTTGACATGTCCAAAACGGCAACATTTTAGACATTGGATAGTAGGAAGAAGATAAGATTCAACTGGTATAGAAGCATACAAGCTCTATACATGGTTGAGTTGGAACCCACTACACTTCATCACCCTTTTTGACCTTTCTGTTAAGTCTTCTGGCTTTAATGATTTCTCCTCCGCCAGGAGGGAGCTCAGACTCGCCTACTAATTCCTCCATAGAGATTTCAGTCGAAATACCCGTGATCACACCCATACGGGTAACATTAAAAGTTGGATTGACAGCAGAAAGTTTATAATGCGAGAGAAACTCCGAGTCAATAAAATTATTGGCGTCAGAAGCAGTTTTAAAAGCAATTGAAACTCTGTTACGCCCTAAAATTTTGATACTCTGTTTTTCAATATTGGCCACTTTATTTTGAGTAAGGATATGACCAATTTTCACAGGTCTAATTGTATAACCTGCTGATGGAACAGGTTCTGAGCGGCTTAAATGTATAACAAATGGGCCATTATCGCTATCTACATACTTTTTTATCTTGGAAGTCAGGGTGGACGTATGTATTTTGGTAGGAGGCAGAAGGGTGATCTTCGTGCCCTATTTTTTACTTTAGGAAGTTGGGTAATGGTAAGGAATCCGTGAGTTTACGTTCAGCATCTCCTCCGTCAACTTCATGTCGTCACACAGATCTACATTAACTAAACAAAAAATACTGCTCACCTACTAACAAATAGAACACACAGAGACAACACACAGAAAATTGAGAGGTTTTACATAACTTTGAATCGATAAAAATCCTTATCGGTTAAAATACATCACCTAAAGCGCTAATTACATTATACAATTTTTAGGAAATCTAATTAGGAAGTAGGAAGGTGTAATCGTAGTTAGAACAGTTAGGATCCGATTTAGTCAAATTGGAGGTCCCGACCGCTCTACTTCCTAAATTGTTTACAATCTAGGACAGTGTAATCGCAGCGTTACGATTTAGAACACCCTGTCGGCGCCCGCGCTTTGATACAAGCGGATGTCTTGAAGTTTTGATAGAAGCAGTTCTGATATCAGAGTGCAGTACTTTAAATCTTAATATTAATTTCCGATGACTATAAAATGTAATGTCACCATCAAACATTCTTTGGCACTCACACTTTATCAAAATATCGTAACTTCTTTTTCAATATGTTTGGATACCAAACTTAACAAATAATCAAACTGTTTTATGGGTGGTAGAGCCATTCTGCAGTTATATTAGTAGTATAGTTGTTGCACGAATGGGTCGGCTCGACCGAGGAAGGACCACACGCTCACAGAATACCAGCGTAAAATAGTAGCTTAATGCTGCTGTGTTTCGTATAGCGAGTGTAGACCCTTTTTACTGGAAACGAGGCATTCCATCTTAGTCGTCACAGGTGACAACGCATCTGCATTTTGATTTGTAATCGGAGATAGATGTAGACGTCCATGGGCCGCAGCAACCACTTACCATCAGGTGGACTGTGTGCTAGTTTGTCACCCTATTCTATAAAAAAACTGCTTAGAATCTAAAAATATATAATTATGTTCATATTGGACAGTTTTTTCTCTATGAAAAGTACTCTTTTCTCTTTTTTTAATATCCATTGTTCCCACCACGGCTAAGGCAAGTCCTATTTTCTGCTATTTTGATAAATACGGCGCCATCGATCTAACGTGCAACCCCGTCGATATTTCTTTACGAATGCGCTTCGTCACGATTTAGAATTCAATTTAGTGTAATGTGATCACTAGCTTCCTAATTAGATTTTTTTTAAATTGTATAATGTAATAAGCGCTTTAAACTAATTTCAAATGGCCAATTAACCTACGAGACATTCCATTTTATTTTTTGGGATGTAAATACATCAGTAACCTTACTTTTTAATTGGCACTTGTCCATGGCCTGCTGTGGTTACTTAATAACAGGTGAACTGCAAGCAAACCTCATAGTAAATTGGTTATTGCAAAAATCCTGGAACATTCATTAACAGAAAATAACTTTTTATATTTAATTTCAGCTGAATCCTTCGCAGGCAAAGGCATGGTTGTAAAAGGTGTACGAAGACACGCAAGAGGACGAATGGGGGAAGTTCGATATACCTATAGTCATTATTTTGTTCGCCTTGAAGAGGGTAAACCTCCCAAAGATTATTATAAAATAAATGAATTAACACCACAAGAACAACTTGATGCGTGGTTGGAACAAATGAGAAAAAGAAAGATTATTAACTCATATTAGATCAATAATATTAGATTATTAACTCAGATTAGATAGATAGTAATTCATTTTATTTTAGTTAGGTATGTAATTAAATGTTGTTGATTATAACTGTATTTTTCGTTATTTGTTTAAAAAGCGCCCATAGTGTGTAACCTCCTAGGACCTGGCGTCCCCTATACGAGACCTTTTTTCTAGTACTGCCCTCCAGCGCCTATCAAAGTGTAACTTCCTAATTATTAGTACATTTATTTCAATGTAGATGTCACTTATTGAAAAAAAAATAACCATGTTTGGCGCTCATTTTTGTAAACTTTTGACAGCTTGAAGTTAGTGGTTGAAAATTTCTGCAAAAAATGGCTGCCCAAGGTAAGTTTTTAATTGATTTTGTTGAAATTAACGCATTTTAGTTTAAAAACGAATGTATTTCTTCATTTTTAAAGTATGTAAGATAAAAATAAGATATTGCTTTCAAATTTCCGCAAATATTTTAGCGAGTATCGCGTCAAGTACATGATTGTCCCGTAGAGGGGACATGGGGTTTCAGACTTAATATTTTTATAGGTATTTTAATTGTTTTCATCCGATCGTTTTATTCATTTACTTGTTTTGTATTGCAGTCCATATGACGGATAGCGACATAGCAAGAATTTTAGAGTTTGATGGCAATGATTCTACCGTTGAAGGCCTTTCTGACGATGACTTCGAAAGCAGTCAAGATCTTGAACCACGCCTGGAAGAGCTGGAGGATGAAGGTTCAAATGACGACTCGAGCGATGATGACGTACCATTGGCTGCTGTTGCTGCTCGTCAGACTAGTGGTCGACTTTCAAGCATGAAAATGATTTCACTCCATATCCACCAGGCATGTACTGTCAACTTTTAGCTGCAAGTCGCGTTAATTTGTTACAAGAACCAATTGAATATTTTTTGAGATATATTCCTGAAGTAATGTTTGAAATAATAAGTAATTATTCAAACCACACATACTTATTGAAGAAAGGTCAAAATCTGAACACAACTAAGGAAGAAATTAAATTGTTTTTGGCATATCTATAGCTATGAGTTATTTGGGCTTGCCAAGGATTAGAATGTATTGGGCAAACAGGACAAGGGTTGCAATGATAGCAGACCGCATGACTAGAGATCATTATTTTAAAATTCGGACAAATTTGAAACTTGTAAATGATCTTGAGGTGGATGAAGCATCCAAGCAAAATAAATTCTGGAAAGTTAACCCTTTGATCAAAACTGTGAGAAAAGCTTGCCTAGAAACTCCCAGATCTCAACATATTAGTGTAGATGTAAGAGGAAAACCAAACCCCTGTGGTTTAAAAAACTTCGTGTGCACTACTCCAGATGGTGTGCCTTTAGACTTCTTCATGTATGAGGGCAAAGAAGATACAATACTCACAACCAATGAAGCTGAAGGTCTTGATATTGGCGGAAAAGTTGTGCTGAAGTTATCTGAAACTTTGCCTAAAGGAGTTAAGTTATACATGGACAGATACTTTAGATCATTGGATTTACTGGACTAATTACGTTCAAAGAAGTTGCAGGCAACAGGTACTCTTAGAAAGGCAAACATACCTAAAAACTGCAATTTCGAAACTGATAATGAGTTGAGAAAACAAGGACGTGGTTCTTTGGATCAACTCGTTCGTAGTGACGGTAATGTGGCATGTCTAAAGTGGTTTGATAACAAACCAGTAATAATGGCATCATCTGTTGATTCCAAAGAACCCATTAACAAATGCAGACGTTGGTGTAAAAAAACTAAACAGTATATCCAAATTGACAGACCATTTGCAATAGAGCAATATAATACCATGATGGGCGGTATAGATATGTTGGACAGGGTCATCAGTTTTTACAGAATTAGAGCACGTTCCAAAAAATGGACTGTTCGTCTGATTTTCCACTTCTTTGATTTTGCGGCAGCTGCTGGATGGCTTGTATACAGGAATGAAGCTAAATTGTTAGAATGCCCTAAAAAAACATTTTGGACTACTTGGAGTTCAAAGTGCAAATTGCAAATTCATTACTTTATTTTACACCAGCGAGGGAACAGATACACATAATTCATGAAGTAGATTCAGACGACTCAACAGAAGAAGCACAACCTTGGAGCCGTAAAAGAAAATATATACCTCAACCTCCAGTTCAACTGAGGACAGCCATGGCCGGTCATTTGCCATTGATTGATGAACAAAATGACAATCACAGATGCCGAATGCCAGGATGTAAAAACAAGAAAGCTAGAGTGTTTTGCTCTACTTGTAACATGCATTTATGCCTTGTAGTAGGACGAAATTGCTACAAACGCTATCATGAATCTGTCTAAGTAACTGTAACGTTTTTGTTTAAATAAACGTTTTAATTCATATTTTTTCGTTTTGATTACAGTATTAGAAAATTGACATGTTAAAACCCAGAGTCTTGTATAGGAGACGTACAATTAAAAAAAAACTAATAACTTATAATTTTTTTTAAATATTTTTTTTGTCATTTAGGGGTCTATAAGTCTGCGTTTAAAATTTTATTTCATTACCAAACACAAAGTGGTCTCGGGTCTGAGGAGAGTAATATGCTGAATTAGCATAAGCTGCTGCTTAGCTTAGAGATTTCAAGAGGATACTATCAATAAAAATTTTAATACTTCTCTTGTTAAAACAAATAATAGATATAACATCGTCATCATCTTGTAGCTTGTGGTAATCAACTACTGGATAAAGGATTTACTTAAGCCATGTCTTCTGGTAGCAACGATGATTATCATGTAGTGTCATCCATTTGTCAACCGAGGAGATTCTCAATTGTTACCTCAGAATTTTTCCTATGTGATCCCATATAAATTTTAAGTAGTTTTTGAGTTATCCTTAACAATACTTATTTAATTGACTTCGACTACATTGATGATGTTCTCATTTTATTTATATTGAAATCGGTTGTTCAAAATTTTTAATTTTAACACTTGTAGTTAGTCAGCAATTGGCTCAGATGAAGTAAAAAAGGTAGATATCGCACCTAGAATAAAAAACTAACAAATTTTGTAACTTTGTGTGAGTCGGAGAAGTGCTGCCACTTTTTTGTAAGAAGTCCCTAAAAATTTAGATAAAATACTACAAATATATTTTATAGCGATGTGAATGCGAAAGTAAATCTGTCTGTTTTACTAAATTTCAACAATTTGACAATTCAAAAAGAGATAATGAACGTAGGAGGCGTCTGTTGATCATTTAAGTCTTCTTGATGGATCGTCCAGTGAGCGTGTAAGCATCGAGAAAAAATACAACATGGAATGTAAAACAAGTTTATTATAAAAAAAAATACAAAAAAATTTGTAGGAACTAGTTGGAATAAAAAATAAATTGCAATAGAATTATAAATATACTTTTCTAGATTTAAAAAAGTATATATTAAAAAGAGCAAGGCTGGCTTCGACATCTCCAGATGGTAGTGAACAGCGTTAAAATTGCAAATATTCACGGATAGCGTGACAGGGGACCCCCTCCCCCCCCCCCAAAACAGCCTCAGCACTCACGCTCAGGAAGAGTAAGATAGTGCGATCAAAATATACCCAAAACAGTAGGGACCGGCTGAAAACCAGTGCTGAGTATAATGCCCAGTGAATACTGAGCCTGTTCCTGTTGCCTGAGCCTTTAAGCTCGTATATTTAGTAATAATAGTTGATTTGTTAATTGTAAATGTTCATTTTTTATTGATTTTTTAAGTCTATACTTATGTTATTTGTATACTTACTTTGTTTTCATTTGTGGACCTATTACTGTGTGGCAATAAATATTATTATTATAGTGGATGCTCAGCGAGGGATTCTCCGCCACCAAGGGTGCTGGTACCTCTTGGGGTTGTTTTTATTTGATTCCGCTACGACATTAAGGGAGGAGGGGAGGGATTGGGCCTCCGGCCACCTGCACTTACCAAGAAAAATGCGGAGGTAAACCTCTAATTCATGGTGCCTACCTCACAGAATATGTGAGGTCGTGGTACCACCTCGGTTCGAGCCGGCCCATCCGTGCGACAGTAAAAGCTGCTGCGTGGCTCTAAGGCTGTCAAGTCAAGAGGATGGCTGCCATTTTGGTTCATTTCAGCTCAGTCTTATAGCAGCTACCCTTCATTAATGTCTTATTAAAATATTTGTCGGAAGCCTATAATCATAAATATTTTTTTATAATAAAATAGTTTGTAAGTACTAAATAATTAAAACGGAAACATCAGCGAGTTAAAAAATTAAATATTTACCTTGAATTCAATTTGAACATAATAACACGTAATGAAAAAAATATGCTGCTACCTACATTTCTATAACTTAACCTAAAATTAATTACCCAAATCTTGGACCATTAGAAATAAAAAATACTGGCAACATTCTCCCGTTATAACAGGCAATTGGATATACGAATTTGTACTCCCATATCCGAATTACTTAACATACTTTTAATACTGAGCAGCTCCCAACCTGTCTCTGGATGCAAACTATGTAAATAAAATTATACGAAATAGATCTTAAATAGAAAAGCAGTGATCTAATATCAATCGTATTTAATGTAGGTACTTGTACAGTGATTATTATTTAAATATCATTTCATATAGGTACCAAGGCTTCATATCACTGACTGGCTTTGATGGAATTGATGATTGTACAGGTGAATGGCTTTTACTTTTTACTGTGCCGACGCCCAGTAACGGTCCCAAGACTTGTTCAGGTAATGTAGTCACCATCACCGCATTTTATACATTCATTTGTCAGCTCATCTACTTCATTTTCCATAATACCGGAATGACCAGGACTCCAGGCAAAAACTACTGAGATATTTTCAAGATGGCATTTATACAGGGTTATTTTGAAACATACGGCGAAATTTGCATAAAGCATGAGTAATGAATAAGAAGTGTTGAAAAATTAATTTAAAAAATCTCAAACAACTTTTATCAGTAGTAATTTTCTGTCTGTAAAAATTACGGTAGGTAAGTAGGTAAAATTACGGAGGGTAAGGAGAACTATCTCATATGGGAGACAAGATGAAAAAGTATTCCAGATGTAAACTATAAATAACAGTTCAAAAACCTTCCAGAGTAGCGCTAGCGTAGATACAGGGTATGGTATAAAATACAAATGTAGCAGTTGTAGATATTATTATTAAAAAATAACCAGTACTAATTTTTTACAATGACTCCACAGAGTCAGTAATTAATTCTTGGGGCGATGTATACGCTTTACAACAAGATCCCAGAAAATTACAAAATTTGACGTAAGTACACAAAGTTCAAAAACTTTATTAAACTGAGTTTGTACAAAACGGGTTATTTTACTATTAAGGAATTTATGGATGATAATAACCCCTGAGAAAGGTGATCGCTACCAAGCTATTTCTAATTTGTTTTGTGTTGTTGTTTAAATTGTAACACGCATGATTGTAAGTCTTATTTTTTTATACTAGTCCCGTTGGGTTTCTTGCTGGTTCTTGCCAGGACAGAGGTTTTTTTTTGCGAACCAGTGGTAAATGAAAAAAGTGACTTTCAATAAGTATTATTTATAATCTATATTGAATAAAAAAGTTTCTGTTTCGAGATCTTACTGTGTGTAATTTTGTGATTTTGTGTATGTGTTCTTATTTTGTGACTCGGCTTTGACATTTTGGACTGTTTCTTCTATATTCGTTGAAGCATGTGCCCACAAAAGATGATGATGAAAAACAAAACAAATTATTATGGATAGCTTTGAAAGAGACATTAATTTTGACTGCATTTTTCGAAATCAAATAATAATTAATATAAACAACGACATATCTACTAGTTTTACTGAAAGTGATTGAATAAATTTATTTTTAATCTAGTTTCAATCTCAAATTTTTATAACTGTGCCTCTTGAAATAAGCAGTAACAACCAATACAAAGAAATTGATAAATCTTATGTTTTAAATGATCCGTTTTTAATTTATTCTGGTATTATTCAAACCAAACTGCAAATGATTATCAACTCTAAATAGTCGATATCGATTTTTTCAAGAATCGAATATTGTACGTTCCCATTTTTTGGTTGGCATGCTTGGTGCAATAAGTCTGACAGCTGTCAAAAGGTATTTCTTGGATTTGGTTGACTATAGTTAAAAATTTAATATTTTAAAAGACTAATTTTTTATGATAATAAAAATATTTTCAAACTTTTTTTGATTTTTTTAATAATTCTTTTATCCAAAAATTGACACTTGTGACTTTTATTATCATTTTGTTTTTGATTAACTTTTGTTCTCTAATTTTGAACAAAAATTTATTAATTTAAACTGTACCCAGCTGCTATTGTAGCACCACCCTAACTTAACGCATTTCGTGGAACACTTTTTCATACACAGTTAACAATGTTATGTCCAACGTCATATTTGACACGTAGCCGAGATGGATTAATGGATTGTTCAGAAGATGCCGTGTCTATAGGGGATGGTTATAATATTTTATTCTACTGCACTTGGCCTTGACATTTGCCAGTAATATGCCTTTGCGGTCAAGAATGGATAAT